TGGTTAGTGACTGTACGCAGTAGAAGTCGACTTCCTGAGAAATCCTAAAATTAGCTTAATTAGAGGACAAAACCTCTACAACGGAATGGCATGGGCTATGCGGTTGGGCTTGTGCAAATTGTAATTCTGACATCTCGTAAGAGGCTAGCTCTTATTGCATGGGCCTCTTTTTTTTTTTTTTTTTTTTTTTTTTTTTTTTTTTTTTTTTTTGCTGGGGTGGGTCTAATAATGGGAAAAGATTGGATTCTTGTTCTATTATTAATAGCTTGACGGCCAGCCACTCGGCATGCCGAGCTCGGGACATTCGGGGGTATACTGGGTCGTATAAATCTACGTTAACATGTCCTTACTATCTAGCACATTTAATTCATCTCAAGCCCCAACTGGGAGATCGACATATACGAACCAGCCGGCCATAAAATTAGTCAATTCTATGACATTACCGCCTCTTTGTCATAAGATTCCCAGTAGTTAGAAACCCTCTATCCCCCATGCTGCCTCTCCATTCGATAGATAGCTGTCCAAGAATAGTCCGGCCATCTCGATTCATATCCTTTTGCAAACCTTCAAGGCCCTCCTGCTGTCCGTGTTCTTGTTCCACCAAGAATGCAACCTGGAGGACATCACGAGGTTTTAGCATGGGTGGGCCCGTTTTCAGAGAATCGGATCGTTCAAAGTCCCAATTTAGCGACCTGGACTTGAAAGGTGGTTTTGGGTTGAGTGTGGTAGACTTAAAAAAAAAAAGAAAAGAAAAGAAAAAGAGAAAAAAAACACATGAACTATTAGCTGGTAATTTTAACCATGCGTGATTGCAGATAAACGATGGGGGAGGAGGGGACACAATCACAGAAAATAATATGAAGTTTGCAAACAGAACATACTCCAAGAGATATCGCTCCATCCCCGACGTTCTCCAGTTGAGCCTCAAGCGCGTATCTCAGTAATCGCGCCTTTCCATAGGGGCCAAGCGCTCGATTATCCACTTCGAGCGGTGTCAGTTCCGTCGCCTTTGTCCGCACACTTAAACACGGCTGTGCAATGAATTGGTAGAGCTTCCGGAACGTGCGTACCCGTCCGCTTGCCGCCTGTACGGCACCAACGCCGGAGCCAGGAGAGGTTTCTTGACCTTGTGGCGCCAGAGTGGTTTCGGTATAACTAACGCTGACTGCAAGGACATGATTCCCTTCTTCCTTTAAATCGAAACGGACTATCTTCTGCAGCGATTGAGACTTTGCTAGCCCGCCAGACCCCGAATCTTCTCCTGGCGGGGAAAGCTCCAAGGAAACGATTTGAGATGGCGTCTGCATTTCCGCTACTATGCGAACGGAGCTGACAACCCGGTTTTCGATATCAGGCGGGAGTTCATTGTTTGCACATAATGAGCAAGAGAATGTTTCCCCCACGTATGCAGATCCAAATGCCGGTGGAAGGGTAACCTGTCAACGAATATTAGAGAGTTGAGGGCCCTTCAGAGAAGAGAAGGAGACTTGGCGGTCGACAAGCTCACATTTGGGCTGAGAATGAATTGGCTGTCAGAGCTGTCGGAAGGGTAACTGAGCGACGCTTTAAGGGGAGGGACGCTTTCGTTTTCACTCGGGAGCGGATATTGGTATGACAGGGAGGGCCGTGAAAGTCTGTTTTTGGTCGGACGGAGAAGATGGAACAAAGATATAAACATCAAGAGATAAAAACGGGGAGCTGGTTTTTGGCGCTGGGAATGGGACCGGAAGAAAGGCTCACCGTAAAACTGGAATTTATGATATCAGCCAGTAATTGCGCAAACTCGACGAGCATGGACCGCCACCAGTATTCATACCTTTTAATGAAACCGAATGGGGCTCCTTAGCCACTTCAGCCCCGGCGAGCAGGCGAGGGCGAGCCATATGGAGGACTCATGCAGTAGGAGTTTCAGGGATTTGATGTGAAATTTCCAACAAACTTAGTATCTCGCACAGATTCGTTCAATAAGCCTTCATAATACAACAAAGTAATACGGATGGAACACAAGTTGTAAGATGTAGGTTTATTCCAAGCTCTGGAGCTTCAATCGACAATTCATTGGCTCCGGGGGGAGAAACGATGTTCCGCCAGGGCTTATCACCAGTTCGATTTTATCCCCACTGACCAAATTGCCGACGTTGCAGATATCCATTCTAGGTTTGTTTTATGCACTCAGGAATATCGAATGGAAAATGGAGACCCGATGGGAAAAGGTGATAATTTCCCTTCTCTCTTTATATACATAATTCGTTTCCACTCTCGATAAGGAGTTATGTCCTAGTAGTTACAAAACCTTGCTGCGGACCAGGAACGCTAAAAAATACTAGTAATAAACAGATGAAAATAAAATAAGAATGGCTATATACATGATGAGGGAAAAGGGCGGGGCAGAAGACGTGAATCGAAGAAGGGATTTGTAAAGACGTGATGGGATAGCAGGGCCAAGACAGGAGCTTCCCTCACAAAACGGAGACAACAGCTGAGGGGTTCCTGGTGAATCATAATAGTAGTAGTAATGGTGATGAAACGTCCCCGCGCTCTAGAACCGCGCAATAACCTTCTCCTGCGTATCCGACATGGCCCACTTGCTGGAATTCTCCTTGCTCAGAACACTCTTCGCCTGTTCGGCAGTGAAACCCTTTGCTACAACTGCCGGGTTGTACCCCAGCCCATTAATCCTCCCAACAACCTCATCGGGAACGGGGACCGCCTCCTTGCCGTCTGCACGCTTGTAGACAGTAACCACAACTGCACCCCCGAGTCCTAGGTTATGCTGTAGCGCCGCATCCGTTCCTTTCACCATGCGGTTATTCGCCCAGCCACGCAGATGCCACACGAGCTCCGCACACTGCGCCACGCCCGTCGCACCTAGCGGGTGGCCCTTGGAAATCAACCCGCCAGACGGGTTAATCACCATCTTGCCGCCGTAGGTGATATCGCCCCGGCGAACCATCTCATGAGCCTTACCGGGCTCCGATAGTTCCAGGGCGTCGATGGTTGTCATTTCGTTGGCTGAGAAGCAGTCATGCAGCTCGCAGACCTTGATGGACCTGACATCCACGCCGGCCTCGGCGAGGGCAGAGCGGGCTGCCTTCCGCGCCATGTCGAAGCCCATGAGGCTGATAGAGCTGGTGTCGTAGACGGATGGGGTGTCGGTCGCAAGGGTCTGGCCGGCGATGAGGATGGCCTGATCCTTGAGGTGTGGGCGGGCGTCGAGGAAGGCTTGGGAGACGATGACCGCGGCTGCACCACCATCGGAGGTTGGACAGCATTGGAGTCTTGTGAGCGGGTAGAAGATCATGGGAGAGTTGGAGATTTGCTCGAGGGTGTATTCCTGTTGGAATTGGGAGTAAGGGTTTCGTTTGGAGTGCTCGTGGTTAATGCGGCCTATTTCCGCGAAGTCTTCAGCTTTAGCGCCGTATCTGGGTCGCGTCGGTCTATGTTAGTATCTCGCAGGCTTTGTATTATCAGGAGGGAGGAGGCTGGAGGGGGTAAACTCACTTCTCCATATACTCTAGACCAGCATTTCCGAACATCTGCGCCGCACCAGGGGCATTTGTGACACCACGGGTCTCCGCCATCATCTCACCAAAGAGACCAGTGGGGTTGGCGCGATCATTGAAGTTCGCCTGGAGACTGCCTGGGTTCATCTTCTCAAAGCCCACGACGAGCACGCAGTCCGCAGCGCCATGCCCAACCATCGTCCGGGCCATGGCAAGGCCCGTCGAGCCGGTGGAGCAGTTGTTGTTGACGTTGTAGATGGGAATGCTGGTGAGGCCGAACTGGTAGAAGACACGCTGGCCACACGTGGAATCTCCGTAGCAATAGCAGGCCACACCCTGGTCGACATCATCGTAAGTGATCTGGGCATCCAGCATAGCCTTGACACCGGCCTCGAAGCCCAGCTCATGATAGTCGACTTTCCCGCGCGGTTTGATGAACTTCGTCATGCCCACGCCCAGGACGTAGGTCGGACCGATTTGGTTTTTGGCCATTTGGCTATATTTTTATACGAATAAAATGATGCAAATGACAAATGATGTATATTATATTATTAAAGCTAGCATATTTGCCGAGTCAGCAAGGAGTCTCCACTGAGTCGAAGAGTTGGACGCTGGTTACTTACGGGTCGAAATTTCTTGCTGAAGAGATGAAAATCAAGGACCGTAGATTCAGTGAAACAAATCATTTCAAAAAGCAAAGCAACCAGTGCGGACAAGAGCATGCGGTGGGTATTTATGTCCCCGGGCAGCTGGGTGCTTGGGATAGCCCTCGCCTGGTGGAGCTGAGAGAGCTGTTGCGGGGAGCCGCAGCCAGCGGCGTGGTGATTCCTCGGTGCCTCGGATCAGAGCCAGGGCGCTTTGCCGGAGAGGGTTTAGTCCCTTTCATGATGATTGATTGCACTGTACACAACAGAATTGTCATAATATAGGAAGTTATTAGGAGTTCCCTGCCTGCAGGCCTGGATAATTGGCCAGATCTTGCCACAGTTGTATCTTCTGATGATGTGTGGAGGAACGTCTCCTTTGTATCGAATGCGAAGCAGTAGCACCGACGCCCACTGTATAAGGAATTGATACTGCACTCAGAAAAAGAGAAGAGTCTCATGCCATGAAAGGCATGGAATCTACTCGACTTTCGACCATGTAATTCCCGATACTTTCTGCTGTGTGATGGCAAATTACGTATTGTAGATATAGCCTTCCACTCCACTTGCTATTCAAGGCATCTCAAGCCTTCTGTGGTCGTGGTCAATCGCTTCTGCTTTAAATTCAATAATACTTTTTATTGAAAGTATCTGGAGCGAAGATGTAGCCAGTGCAAGGGCCCCTTATATACACTATTACTTTATCATATAGTGGTGTGCGTGGTATGAGATGTGTTCGGACAAGATTTAGCAAACCTTTCAAAATCTTCAAAGCACTTGATACCAATATTGACCATTCACGAAAGTGCTGTTCATGGCTGTGGGGTACAGAGTTCTGTCGCAATATAGTCAATGGTTTGTCCATCTTCTCTTGTTTGAGTATAGTTACTACTCCGTAGTATCAATGAATTGGTGGTGGCAACCCTTGAATTTCTTATATGAAGCCAATAAACAGCTCCTCTAGTGGCAAGGAACATGCACATTCAAGATCAACACGACAGGTTTGATGTTATTGTTCTTATCACCGAACATACTGGTATTTCTAGCATTTATATCAGCGGATTCATGGAACATGCCTCTTTCTTGTCCTGCTTCTTTCTCCCTTTTTGCCCCTGGTGCGATAATAATTCTAAATCTCCTGCTCGGTTATTCAGCATTTCACATGAAGACATCCCCTTCATACACCCTCTTTGAGTCATTCATGAATTCCAGTTAGCCCTGTTTCCATATTGGATGATAGGCCTCCCCTCCTCAACCTCCACTCCCAATCCCTTTCCCCCCTGACCTCTAACCTGGTATCAACCTCTTGATACAGCTGGCATGGCATGACAGCACCCCTCTGAAGCATTTGATTCGGCGGAGCCTAGAGAAGTAAAACTTGAGGGGGCTGAGACGGGATGGCAATCCTGATTCCCTGTAATGACGTTAGCCCATGGTTAGCCCATGGTTAGCCTGGGAAGGCTGCAGGGTTTATTTCTTTGAAAACCACTGTCTCTCCGGACTGTGCAGTTTGATGCATCAACCGGTCGCGTGCTTCGGCTCCTGCTTGTCTAATAACCCACGCTTTAGAAGTGAACGGTGTCGATGAAGGGCACCAATAATATTCTGGTCGTAGGAATTCTTAATATCAAGGCCGTTTGGCATTGTGTTCCCAGAAGTTGGGGTAGCTTTGGAGTAGTAGACAGAGCATGCAGTACAGGCAGAGATCAGCCCCCCAATGATATACACCATATGTTTCCAGGGATAGTGACAGGGAAACGGAAGTTGGCAGACGAGAGAGCATGTGCTAACAGCAACGACGAGGCTTCAGCGGCCGGGATGACTCAGCAAACTGCCAACAGCCACTCACAGCCACTCAACCCAGAACCACATCACTAGTACATAAATGGAAAGTGGCGTATTAGCGTGCGATATGATTGGCTATTGCGGGGCTACAGGTCCAGGCTCAATGCGCACTAGCTAAATTGGGGCTAGGGCGCTCCATCCCCGTCACCAAGCTGGCTTGTCTGGTGGAAGGAATCCCACTTCCTCTCCCTTCTCATTCCTATACTCACCTCCTTGTTGTCTTTGTTGGAACACCCCTCTGCTGGCCGGGGTGGCTGCTTGGGAAAGGAGCGTGTCTATTGTCGTTCTCAAAACTGCCCACTGGTCTCCCGAGATTTCCTAGATCCGCTCTGTGATGCGGGCAGATCCCGTTCCTTACTTCCCCCACTAATGGTTACCTTATCTACCTACCTCTCTACCCGTCTACAGGTACCCTTCCCTTGCCAACGCCATAACCTCGTATGTATATTCTTTTCTAAACCTCTCCCTTTGCTTCCTGACTCGATGTCTCTGCGGAATCTCTTCCATTGACTGAATTGTCGTGCTCAGATTTCACCTTCGTCATCTCTGCTCTCTGACCTCCAGGAACTTCCCTCCGCCAGCCATTAGGGCTCCTACATACGCCTAGGTATATACCGTATATAGCCCGATTATTCTGGTAATCGGATTCGGGGATATCCCTCTTCACACTCCGGAGCCGATTCCACCTCTGCCTCCGTTGAATTCTTGGGAGACTTTGGACACTGTTTGCACAACCAAGAACTGGTCGCTAGTACCCTCAATGGACAGTTGTGGGACGCTGAGAGGTCTGCTCACTCCTTTTGCTGAGAGGCCACTTTGCGTTCCATCGGATTCCCCAGTCCATGGCCCTGAAATGGTCAGCTGCGACTAGAACAAAATTCGGCGACGACGACAGACACAACATTTACATACACAAAGGAGCGAATCAGAATGATGCCATCACTACAACAACAACAACAACAACAGCAACAGCAGCAGCAGCAGCAACAAAATCAACAACACCAGAAGAGCATCAACAATGCCACCATCACCTCGGCCCCTGGTATCGCCTCTTCGTCATCGCAGTTGTCTTCGTCTCTGCCTTCTTCGTCCTCCCCATCTGTATCTGCACCCACAGCTCGCCACTCCTTACCCTCTTCTATTGTCGTAGCCTCGTCCTCAACTTCACACGCTGCTATGCCCCGTGGCTTTTGGAATATGGACGAACCCACGAGAAACCGATTGTTGAAGCAGTACCGTACGCAGGCTGCCTCTGCGGCGTCGACCCTCTTTGCAACGCTCTCTGTGGTATGATTGCTAATCTCGTGTGTTTCTTGTGAATAAGCTTTGTGTTATGGAAAAGACCATCACTTCGATTAATTGACTCCCTCTTGTGTTCTCTAGACGCCGCTGGAAAACCTTAAAACTCGCATGCAAACGTCAGTATTTCGGACCCCCATAAACTGGCCTTGCTTCCTTTTTTCTCTTCCTTTTTTTCTTCTTTTTTTTTCCCCTAGTACATTTAGTACTATGCCGGAATCTAACTATTTGTTGTCTTATATTCTTTAGGCATGATTTTCGAGGCCTAACCGACTGTGCCCGCTATATATGGCGCACGGAGGGCTTTAGAGGATATACTGCAGGTTTGTTTGTCCAACTTGTATTGTAGCCATAGAATTTGGATAAATTTGTTGGTTTCCCAAAGGAAAAAACTAAATGCTTTCTTCGCAAATTCTACACACAGGAGCTTTACCGCCCATGGTCAGCGTTACGTTTGTCCGCGTTACAAACTTTTCGGTGTACCAAAAGGCCAAATACGCGATCTCCGATGCATTTGAGAGAACCACCGGAGAAGCGCCGCTGGTGCTGTATAATACCCCAGGAAGCCTCCCCACATTCTCCACTGTGACCTGTTTTACAATAGCTGGAATGGTTGCAGGACTTGCCGCCACGCCTCTTGCATGTAAGCACTCTCAAGTTTGTTTTTGTTTAGCTCCTTTTTTATACAATGTAAGCCACTACTAGCATTCTAAACACTGTCCCCTCCACAGGTCCCTTCGAACTAGCCAAGAACGTCGTTCAAACTTCCGTCCTCATGGCCAACAGATCGCACGCCATAACTGGGACGGCCACTAACCACCACACGTCCCTCCGCAACATGCCCCGCCTAGGCACCATTGACGCCATAAAACAAATCGTCTCCCGACATGGCTACCGCGGCCTGTATACGGGAGTCCGCCTGCACGCACTACGCGACACGATCGGCACTGGCCTCTATTTTGGCATCTACGAGACGGCTAAACAGCTCATCTCGACATTTCTGGGGGACCACCAGTCGCCCTTTGGCGCGCCGATGGCCGCAGGAGCGTTATCGGGGATTATCCCTTGGATATGCGTGAGTAGATCCTATCTCTTGTGTTTTATATTAAAGTAGACTACTAACCTCTTCATCTTTATCTGTATCTAGACATACACTTTAGACACCAAAAAGACACGGGCGCAGAGTATTCTGCTGGGCAAGTCCAAGGAGATCGGCGAGGCCTCGATGGCTGCGGCGCGCTCGTCGATGTACAAGGGTATGTCGGTCTCGATTGCACGCACCGCGTTTCAGAATATGATCCTCCTATCGACCTTTGAGTATCTGAAGGTTCGGATTAATGAACTTGAGGCGTGAGGCAGGCTTTTTGATTTTTGTAAATTTTTCTGGGATCGTATGTGTGTTTGAATTGGACAGACATACACGGACATACTGGCATACGAGCGTGCAAAAACCCAATAAAGGGAAAATAAAATGAGGGGATGAGAGACGAGATGGATGGACATATATCATTTTTTTTTTTTTTTTGTTTTTAAATTTTGAATCTTTACCTCTTTCTTACTTACGATTACATATTTTCGTTCTGTCATTACTTTTTTCGATATATTTTCGTATTTTTTTGATCTGTTTGCGATTACCAGGAAGCAACTTAGGCATCGCCGCCTCCACCTTCTCCATTTCCGCCACTCTTTTGCTGCTTTTGTTTCTTCCGTCTTTGAAACAAAAGCCTTTACGAAACATACGCTCACTTACTTTCCTGCTACCTGCCTCTTCTCCTTCTTCTCCTGTCTTACTTTACTCATTCATGGTGTTCCGGGTGTGCTTTAAGGTTCCAAATGGCTCTTGATGGTATGGTAGGAACAAGTTTCTGTCTTCCTGCTCTGCTTCTGATCTGATGTTATTACTTTGCCTCTTATTTCTCACTTTTACATCCTTTACATGTTATTTTCGCCCTCTCTATCTTTTCGTAATTTTTTTGCCAACTTTGCCTTTATATACATACCACCCTAAGGCTCCTGTAGCAGCCTTGTGATACAGCCTTTTGCATGTTCTTTTTGTATCGAGCGCACTCTGTACTGAATCGTTCTATTGCGGTGCTGATGCCGGCGCTGGTACCGGTGCAGGTTATCATTCACAGTATGTACCGTACAATACATACTTTGGCCATATATATGAGTATACAAAATTACAATATATCAAATAGCAGCTTAGGACATCTGTTGTGAGCTTGTATATTCCATGATAAGTTATAATAATTGCTAGTAACTAGCTAACTAAGCATTCCTCCTGTGTTTAACATCACACAAGAACTCATCATAAGCACTGCTTGCAAAGGCTCAAAAGCTCCCTCGGTTTTGTTACGTCATTGGTCACTGGAATTTAGTTGGGTTTGTTTAGGCTGAGATAGTTCTCGTCGGGAGTTGAACATCCAACACCAGCTTCGGACAACGCGGGGCCCCAGCAATAAATAGACAAGCACCCACTCATACAATTACCTCCCATTGCAGATGAGTTTATAAATGAATTTGCACCAGGCTAAGAGGAATAAGATAATTATATCATGGCGTCGTAAGTCCCCTCCCCTCGCTTGGTGTTGAAAATACTTCTTCCCCGCTCCCCGCTGCCAGCGCCCTCCTCCCACTCCCACTCCTACTCAGTGAAAACTCCGCTAAACAGAAGTAAACAGAAACATCCTCCTCATCCCTCTCCGCCGCAGCCACCCCATCTCCCTCTCCACGGCCATGAAGCAGTATATCTCGAACAAATACGACCAACGGCCCGAGATGTTCGCTGAGGACCTGCTGATTATCGACAGGCTGCGCATGGATGCGATAAACGTCCAGGAACCACATATTAGTGGCATCAGCCGGCTAGTGACATACGCAGCGCAGTTGAAGTGGCTGGGGGGGAAGTTCCCTATTGACGTATGACTGTTGTTTTTTGTTTTTCTACATACTGTGGCTACCTTTGGGAAGGATGTTTTTTTGTTTTATTCCCTTTACTGATGACACCATTCATTCATGCGCAATGTGTAGGTTGGTGTGGAGTTTTCATGGTATCCGGCTCTAGGGTTTAATACGTCGAGGCCTAGTGAGTTTTCTTTCGTGTTTTCTTTCTCTATATATGTATCCCCTAGATACCAGTACAAGGCGCCGCTTCGTGCTAACATCCGCAAATCAAACCCAATAATAGTCTCCCAAAACAACCTCCGCTTCGAGCTTGCGAACATCCTCTTCAACCTCGCAGCTCTCTACTCCCAGCTCGCCGCCTCCCTAAACAGCACAAACCCTGACAACCTGAAAACAGCCTGTAAATACCTCTGCAACGCCGCCGGCGTCCTCGTGCACCTCCGCACAGATATCCTGCCAGACCTCCGCTCCTCCCGGCCAGAAGATATGGACGAAATGACCCTGCGCAGCCTCGAAGAGCTCCTCCTTGCTCAAGCTCAGGAATGCTTCTGGCAAAAGGCCGTCAAAGACGGGCTGAAAGACGCTTCCATAGCCCGCCTGGCGGCGAAGGTATCGGACCTCTATGCCGAAGCGGGCGATTGCGGTGTCAAATCTGACGCTATCAGCACCGAGTGGATCCACCACATGACGGCTAAACACCACCATTTCGCTGCTGCGGCGCAATATAGACAGTCGCGCGATTGTCTGGAGAAGCAGAAATATGGCGAGGAGGTTGCGCGGTTGCGCGACAGCGTGGCGTGTGTGAACGAGGCGCTGAAGGAGAGCAAGTGGATTAGTCGGGTGGTGCTGGGGGATTTGAATGGGCTGAAAGCGCGGGTGACGGAGGATCTGAAGCGGGCAGAACGTGATAATGATAAAATATATTTGATCCCTGTGCCGCCCAAGTCGGAGCTGAAGCTGCTGGATCGCGCAAACATGGCCACTGCGAAGGCGCCGGTGGAGGTGACGGATGCGCTGTCCATGATTGGGGAAGGGTTGCCGTTGGGGAAGCCGCTGTTCGCCAAGTTGGTGCCGTATGCGGTGCATGTTGCGGCGAGTATTTACGTGGAGAGGCGGGATAGGCTTGTGCAGCAGGAGATTGTGGGCGGGGTGGAGGAGATGACCGCTCATCTTAAGGAGTATGTTATTATAAGGATGCTGGTTTACTAGTAGCACATAAGGTGGAGAGAGATATGTTGTTTTCTTTCTTGGCTAACCGTATCAATATGCAGGTTGCTCCAATCTCTCAACCTTCCAGGCTCGCTGCAGGCTCTCGAAAAACCCCTAGGTCTGCCGCCATCGCTTCTCTCGCACGCCGAGGAAATACGCCAGCAGGACGGCTTCAATCGGCTTCGTCTCTCGCTGAAGGACACCGCAAAGCTCAAAGCAAACGACAAGGCCATCTTCACCGAGGGCGTCGAGCTGCTCATGGCTGAACGTGACGAAGACGACCGCGCCCGCGCGAGATACGGCACGGATCGGTGGACGCGCGAGCCGTCCGAAGTCGCTGGCAAGAAACTGTACACGCAAGCGGAGGAGATCCAGGGCTACCTGGCCTCTGCAGAGAACAGTGATAAGCTCGTTGAGGAGAAGTTGCGGGACACGGAGAAGGTGTTGCGGGTTCTCACGGGAACAAATCGGGACATCGAGGCGTTTGTGCCGAGTAGTCGGAAGGCGAATATGACGGAGGCGGTTGAGAGGGAGGCTGGGAGGCTGAGGGGCTGCTTGAATGAGGTGGGCAGGTTGGAAAGTCGGAGGAGGAGGAGGATTGAGGCTTTGAGGGAGAAGGCCAGGGGTGATAGTTTTACGGATGTATATCGTATTTCTCCTTGTGGCTGTGGCTAACTGCTACTAAAT